AACCCCAAATACCTCCACCTCTTTCTACCCCCATGGCCACAAGCTGGTCCAGGCCACCACTGTCTCTTGCTTGGAGCCCAGCAATAGCTGCCTTCCTGTCTCCCTTCCTCCAGGTCTGGTTTTCACATTCCATGTTCTACCAGCCTCCTCCAGGTTGTTTCTGATGCTTCAACCTCATTTCCATGGCCTCCAGGCTCTTAGCCTAAAATATTTCCCATCATTATTCTTGTATAAGCCATACTTAACATTTCCCCTAGAACTAGCCAATCGTCTTTCCCATGTGTGCACACTTTTGGGTCTTTGCACATGCTGTTCCCGCCTTCTGGAATGCTCCTCCTCTTCTCAGCGCCCCTCCACTCTTCTCAGCTCCCCTCCACGCATTCCATATTGGCCTAGCTTACTCTTTCTCATTCCTACATCTCAGCTTACATGTCCTGTCCTCCAGATGTTCCTCACTCCCAAGGTTGGATTTGGTTTTCCTGCTCCGTGGCCCCATAGCATTCCTCACCCAACTGTGGCTATTCCTTACTTGTCGGTGTCTCCTGCTTGTCTTCAGGTCCATGGAGGTAGAAACCATGTCTGTCCTGCTCAACATCCCCAGGAATCTGCATGGTACCTGACACACAGTAGTTGCTTAATTTGTTGAATGAATAAATGAATAAACATGGGAGTTGGAGTGAGTAGAACTTGAAGCAGTGCAAAACGTTCAGATCTCTGCTATTTCACATACCTTAATATATGACCTTGAGACTTCATACAAGAGCTCTCCGAGTCTCTGTTTATTCATTTATAGGATAAGAGGGTAATATGCATTTGCAGGGTTCTTGGAAAGTTAAGTGTGAGAATCTGTGTGAAAATGCCTGGCACCTAGAAGTTACTCCCTAAATGCTTGTCAGATCTGTGGATGAGTAGGAAATAGACTGGGTGTAATACCCTTATTCAGAGAATTCATAGCTTGGGTCACAGCACAGTGGTAAGGACATAGGCTCTTAATCTGGGCAGCTCGGTTGGACTACCAGCTCTGTCACTTATTAAATGGACAACCTTAGGCCAAATACTTAAAAACCATTATGTGACTCAGTTTCCTCATCTGTAAAATGGGAATAATGATGGAATTTAGCTTAGATCAGCACCTGGCACATTAGCTATTGTCATTGCTTTTAACATGTAACACTGACAACCACACAGTAAGGCTCTTGCCTGTGGTCCTCCTTAACAGGTGAAGAGAGTTTCAGAGAAGTGAAGTGACTGCACAAGGTCAAACAACGAGGAAATGTCAGCCTTGTGCTTCAAGGCCAGGTCTGCTGCTCCCAAATCCCATGTTATTTTCACTCCATCAAAGAAGGAGCTCAAAATAGGCCTGTGGCATTTCAGCTAATTTCCTCTAAGCCCTTACCGAGTAACCAACCGCGGGCACACAAAGCTGCTCCCCTAAGAGCATCCATTCAGCAGCTGCTAAGTATGTGTGCCTGGTGGATCCGGACCATCTAATGGGACTTGCACCAAGCCAGCTCTTCCCAGGTGACCTTGCCTGGTCTGCAGAAGGGACCTACGGAGTAGAGCTGGGTTAGGAAGGGGCAGAGGGTGGTACGTGAGTTAGATGGAAAAAGAAGCTGGAGACCAAGTGGATGTAAAGGGGGGAGAGTGCCTACTATGTACCGGGAATTTCACCTATCTCACACTATCTACCTCACTATGATCACTCAGCCATTGTTTATTAAGCATCTACTATGTGCCAAGGTCTGGACTAGGATCCGAAGATGTAATGGTGAGAAAGACACAGCTATTGACTTCAAAGGGCTCCCAAGTCAGTAGGAGAGATAACACATACACACTGAAGTGCTATGAATGAGATGGTAGAGGCCTGAGCAGGGTGTGGCAACAGTGAAAAGCAGGGAGTAGCTGGGAATAACATCAGAAAAAAAGAAGGCGGGTGTTAATGTGCCCACTTAACATATTGTGAAACTGAGGCTCTGGGAAGTGGACGTGTTTGGAGTCGTGCAGTTACCAAGTAGCCGAGTCGAGCTATGCCATCAGGTCTATTCTGTCTCCAGAAGTCTCTTTCTTTCCATACTTGCAGCCTGAAAGCTCTTACCTTCCTCCCCAACCCCCTTTCCTTTTCTCAATGATTATCTAGCCAGAAGATTAACCAAATGCTGCTAAAGCCGTGGCCGCTGTCAGTGGCTAAGATGTTAGCTGCTTCTGTGGACAATCAGAAGCTCTGAGCCTCTGTTACTGATTTCATTTGAGCAAAAGATTCAGGGGTCGGTGTGAAAGGGGTGGGGAGATGAGAAGGAGGTCTCTATCTCCAGTCTGAAGGGACTTCTACGGCAGGTCAAAGGTGACAGAGTGAGGGCAAGCTTCGCAGGCTTGTGTGGCTATACACAAGCCTCTCTCCGCTGCCCCCGAAAGGCCTATTCTATCTAAGAGCCCTTCCTGCTTGCTCTTCACTTTTTCCTCAAAAATGGGAGCCAAGAAAACCACCCACCTGACCCACTGGCTGAATGTGCTGGGTTCCCTGCTGAGTGGGATCCATAGATCTGCCCCTTCTTCACAGGACAAGAAACCAAGCTGGAGAAATCTTTCGTCTGCAAATGTAGCTCTTTCTATAGCCTACAGGTACCTTAGCAGGGGTGTGAAATCTTCATTCTGTTCTCCAGACACCAGAACCCTCTCCAGGTGCCAGGAGCACAGCAGTCCCCCCTCACAGGGTGATAGAAGAGAGCAGAGAGGGAGAGAAGGGAGTATCATGCAGGTGGAGAAACAGGTAGTTTTCCTACACACACACAAGAATCCATTGGACATGCCTGCAGGTCATCTCTGAGGTAAGGGAACAAGTTGGGCAACACCAAAGAAAGTCTAATTTTAATTCAGTCATGTATTACATACTCTTTGAAAATAACCAGATCTCTGAGAAATTGTTAAGTAAAATAAAAATGGAGAGAGAGGCCAGAAAGTATGAAATAATTGAGTTATGAAATTACATCTCTAACCCCCAACTGACCCATCAGACTCACAGCTCTCTCTAGGCTCCTCCCCATCCCCCCCACTCACCCCCCCCCAAAATAAAGACAGTGCACCCTCCATCATGCCTCATGTGTTCTCACTCACTTAACTATGAAAATGATCAGAGAAAAAAAGGAATCAGTAGCAGAAGGAATCTGAAGTGCTGCGTTTTCCAGGGTTTACGTTAAGGAAAAGTTGCACATATAGAAACAAGAGGTGATGCTGTGATTAACCCAGGATGAGGATTCTGCAGAGGAGGAGATGTGTTAGGATGTGTTTCAGTGTTCCCAGCAGGGAGATTTTTATCTCTTCCAATCCAGTTTATGAATGGCATGGGAAACTTCAGAAGGGTTCACATTTCACCCACTTCCCCTACAAACATGTTTATCTGTAAGATGAAAATCTCTGCCCAAGTCCCAGCCACCAGTCACCCTTCCGCACCCTTTTCCATGAATAATCTTTCCAAAATGTCTGCTTGTAGGAGCAAGATTTCGAATTTCACGGAAAACTACAGAGAGACACGCACACAGTGCACTGCACACCCCCACGTCGCCAATAAGAGACAAAGAGACAAGAGAGGAACAACCAAAAGGAGACGCCGCTAACGTGGCCATAAAATAAAATAAACTCCCCAGCAGCAAAGTGAAACTGATGATTTCAAAAACAGAGAAAGACCTTGTTTGTAATTACCCATCCAGGTTATATTTTCACCGCTTCCAGGCAGAGAGAAACGGCTGGTTGAAGTTTTGTGCCCATCTGATTGTGATGGGAGGGTTGTATTTGAAGCTCTGGGCACGTAGAGATGGAATGAGAAAGAGGCTGAGCTGGAAGAAACACCAAGGGGGAGGGAGGGAGGG